AGTACAATATAATCCACAGGGAGAGATCTAGAGAGGTCTGCTGGGATCAGATCAGTCTAACACTGGTCTCTTCCTCCTCTGTCCCTGCTGTCTGTCCGTCTCAGAGGGTTCCCCTCCCAGCAGCTTGTGTGCAGCACCAGCTCAGTGTTAATGCTCCAGTAGCATGTGTGTCTGTGCTGCTGATTGCAGTGAGTCACTACAGCCAACCAGCCATGGAGCCAACCAACGATGAGGCTCACGGCACAGCTTTCCCAAAATGGAGGGAAGACAGCAGCTGGGAATGCTGGGGGCTTGGCCCTGGACCTTACTGGAATGGGGGTGGCCATGGTCATGGAACTGGGTGATGGTATCTGCACCCTATTCCCTATATATTGCACTACTTTTGTTCACAGCCCTATGGGCCCTGGTAAAAACAACTAGTGCACTAAATAGGAAATAGGGTGTCATTTGGGACACAGCAGGGGTAAGAAACGCCACTCGTACTACCACTACCACTAAACTAGCCTGGTTCATTTGTGCTGAATAGCCTGCATGTTTGGCATGACAATGACCATAAGAGTTGGCAAGACAGCACAAACAGATCTGGGTCCAGGTTACCACTAAACCAAGACACAAGGTCAAAGATAATGGTTGGCTTAGGAAATATGCTACTGGAGCATTAACACTGAGCTGGTGCTGCACACAAGCTGCTGGGAGGGGAACCCTCTGAGACGGACAGACAGCAGGGACAGAGGAGGAAGAGACCAGTGTTAGACTGATCTGATCCCAGCAGACCTCTCTAGATCTCTCCCTGTGGATTATATTGTACTTCCAACCTGGGTCCAGTTTGCCTGGAGAGATGCTACTGACGAGTTAGGGCTGATCTGAGAGGGTGTCAATAGGAGCCATGTTTGACCCCCTCCCTCTCTTTCCTCACTCCATGATGCATCTGTGGATCTATTCAGTTTCAAAGAAGACAGTGCCTCAAGGTGTGATTGACTGATTGACCTCCATGCTGTAGTAGAGTAGTGAATCTCTCTCTCCCTCTCTCTCTTCCTCCCCCTCCCTCCCTACCTCCTATTTGGCTGAGCATTAGCACATCTAATGTTACCACCACATCCTTCGTTGAGGCTGTGGTCTGACAACAGTCAGAAGCTAAGCTCAAACTCTCCCTTTCTTCAACTGGGTTTCAATCTGAGGAGGACTGAGTTGTGAGTTGAGTTCACTATCTATCAGCAATGCAGAAGGCAGGTGCTATGACTCCTCAGTGTGTGTCTGTGCCAATGCAGCTAAGACAGCACAACTAGCGTGCTCAGTGGAAATGGAGGGAAAAACCAGAGAGAGGAGAGAGACATCATGATGAAATGACTCTTGGCGCTGAATAGCATGGTGGAGACCCTGCCCAGCTGTGTGCGTGAATGCGCGTGTGCGTGTTCCTGCTTTAACAACCCAGTGATAACACACAGGTCCAGGAACATTGCTGCTCTCTGATATACATCCAGGCTGGGCAGTAGGCCAGGCCTGAGACCTCAACAGTCCAGCCAGTTATCCCACAACACATTTCAGAAATGAACTAAATGCTATTGTCTCCTCTAAAATGTGATGCAATCTCCCTCTCCCTTTACGAGGGTAAATAGAGGTATTGACATTTCTAGTGTAATATTTCCACAATACAGGTTGCATACCAAATTGGACCCTATTTTGGACCTACCCTAAATTATTAATATCTACAGAGCTGAACATTCTAAAGAATGTCATGGTCTGATTATGTTTTATTAGTCTGGTCTTCAAGGCCAAAGAGTTTGAGGAGAAAATACATTTTTCAATGAGAGGTTTCTATTCATTTCTGTTCTATTCCACTTAAAATACTACTGAGATGACTGTGAAAGAGACTGAAAAGGAATCCTCCTTTAAGATGATATATTTCCTCCCTCCTTCACCCTCTCTCTCCTCCTTTCCCACCTCCTCAGCCTCCCTTTCCTCTCACTCCATGTTCTCAGCCAGTTCTCTCCTCCTGCACTTCAAAGCCGTGTCTCTCTCCCTCTCCCTCTCACTCTCAGTGACTCAGGGGGATAGAAATGGTTAATGCCTGAAGCTCTGATGTTCCTCTGCCGTGGGAGACCAGCCAATCCACGGCCTCCTCTCCTCCCTCCTTTCTTCCATCCCTCGCTCTTCTTCCCCTTTGTGGAGGCGATAGCTCTCCCTCTTTCCCTTCTTCCTAACGCATCTATTTCTCTCCTCCTTCTCAGTCCCATTCCAGCACTCTCAAGGATCATTCTACTGTAGGCCTGGATAAAATAAATCTCTCGTTCTTTCGTTCCTCTCCCTCCCTCCTTCATTCTCTCACCTCATCTCACATAATGTTATTTCTCGAGCAGCTCTTGAGCCCACTCCTCCTGACTGCTCTGTCTTTTTTCAAGGACTCATTATTGAAGCAGGAGAATACATTAAAGCTCATTCAATCTAAACCACTGTCTGTACACCCTCTACCTGTCAGACAGACAATGTCATATATGAGAAGGTGAGGTATATTACTCCTTTTAGTGAAACTGTAGCACACTGCTAAGAATGAAACAAAACACTGGGAATTCATTCTAAGTGGTATGTTAGTAATTACATTGGAATAAAGCCTATTCTATGTCGGAACCACACTGCATCTTTGCAATACTGTAACATCTGAAGGGAAGGCTCAATAATACAGCTCATCTCCCATGAATGTCTCGGCTCTGAATAACGGGACAATAATACAATAAGATCCATCAGGAATGGCAGCCTGTTATGTAACTTCACATTTTAAGATGCAATTAGCCATACTTTGGGGAAGAAGCTATTTGAGGCATGCCATAAGTGTCACAATTAGACACACATACACTACCGGTCAAAAGTTTTAGAACACCTACTCATTCAAGGTTTATTTTTTATTTTTACTATTTTCTAGCCACCCTTTGCCTTGATGACAGCTTTGCACACTCTTGGCATTCTCTCAACCAGCTTCATGAGGTAGTCACCTGGAATGCATTTCAATTAATAGGTGTGCCTTCTTAAAAGTTAATTTGTGGAATTTCTTTCCTTCTTAATGTGTTTGAGCCAATCAGTTGTGTTGTGACAAGGTAGGGGGGTTATACAGAAGACAGCCCTATTTGGTAAAAGACCAAGTCCGTATTACGGCAAGAACAGCTCAAATAAGCAAAGAGAAACGACAGTCCATCATTATTTTAAGACATGAAGGTCAGTCACTCTGGAAAATTTCAATAACTTTAAACGTTTCTTCAAGTGCAGTCGCAAAAAACATCAAGCGCTATGATGAAACTGGCTCTCATGAGGACTGCCACAGGAATGGAAGACCCAGAGTTACCTCTCAAATCAAATCAAAATGTATTTGCCACATGCACCGAATACAACAGGTGTAGACATTACAGTGAAATGCTTACTTACAAGCCCTTAACCAACAATGCAGTTTTTAAAGAAAAAGTAAAATTTAAAAAAGCAAATAACTAAAGAGCAGCAGTAAAATAAAATAACAGTAGAGAGGCTACATACAGGGGGTACCGGTACAGAGTCAATGTGCGGGGGCACCGGCTAGTCCTCTGCTGCAGAGGATAAGTTCATTAGAGTTACCAGCCTCAGAAATTGCAGCCCAAATAAATGCTTCACAGAGTTCAAGTAACAGACACATCTCAACATCAACTGTTCAGAGGAGACTGTGTGAATCCGGCCTTCATGATCGAATTGCTGCAAAGAAACCACTACCAAAAGACCCCAATAATAAGAAGAGACTTGCTTGGGCCAAGAAACACGAACAATGGACATTAGACCGGTGGAAATTTGTCCTTTGGTCTGGAGTCCAAATTTGAGATTTCTGATTCCAACCGCTGTGTCTTTATGAGACACGGTGTGGATGAACGGATGATTTGGGGCGGCAGGTAGCTTAGTGGTTAAGAGCGTTGTGCCAGTAACCGAAAGGTCGCTGGTTCTAATCCCCAAGCCGACTAGGTGAAAAATCTGTCGATGTGCCCTTGAGCAAGGCACTTAACCCTGATTGCTCCTGTAAGTCGCTCTGGATAAGAGCGTCTACTAAATGACTAAAATGTAAAATGTAAAATGATCTCCGCATGTGTATTTCCCACCGAAAAGCATGGAGGAGGAGGTATGGGGGTGCTTTGCTGGTGACACTGTCTGTGATTTATTTAGAATTGAAGGCACACTTAACCAGCATGGCTACCACATCATTCTGCAGCGATACGCCATCCCATCTGGTTTGGGCTTAGTGGGACTATCATTTGTTTTTCAACAGGACAATGACCCAACACACCTCCAGGCTATTTTACCAAGAAGGAGAGTGATGGAGTGCTGCATTAGATGACCTGGCCTCCACAATCCCCCGACCTCAACCAAATTGAGATGGTTTGGGATGAGTCTGACCGCAGAGTGATGGAAAAGCAGCCAACAAGTGCTCAGCATATGTGGGAACTCCTTCAAGACTGTTGGAAAAGCATTCCAGGTGAAGCTGGTTGAGAGAATGCCAAGAGTGTGCAAAGCTGTCATCAAGGCAAAGGGTGGCTATTTGAAAAACAAATATAAAATATATTTTGATTTGTTTAACACTTTTTTGTTACTACATGATTCCATATGTGTTATTTCATAGTTTTGATGTCTTCACTATTATTCTACAATGTAGAAAATAGTAAAAAATAAAGAAAAACCCTTGAATGAGTAGGTGTTCTAAAACTTTTGACCGGTAGAGTACCTTTTCTACGTAACGTTCCCCTCAACATTCAGATAAAATTGACAGAATGTGGAAAAACATTTTTTTCCTGGAATCAAACAATAGAGCACTATATGTTGAGAATGAGACTGTCATCATTATCTTGCGCCGTTTAGATAAACAGGGAGGAAGGACACTGCATAAGGTCGCAGTCAAGCTTAAGCTGTAGGTCAAAGTCATAGGTCAAAGGTTAGGATATGTGTGTACAGTAGGAACAGACCAAGCAGGAAGAGAGAGGAAGAGGGTAGGATTCACCTGCGACAGAGTTAGGGCGAGGCATGAGGTACAGAGGGATGGAGTGAGCGGAGTGGGAGGACATGCTGTCCAGGTGTCTCTCTGGGATCTTGTTGAGACTGTAGGTGGAGGCAGCCATGTTCTCGTCCACACGGTAGAGGAACGAGTCAGTGCCAGACTTCTGGCTCTGCCACAACTTCAGGTTACTGCCGCGTGAGAAACCCCCCTCACCATATTTACCCCCCCGCTCAGCGTTCTCCGAGTAGCTGGTCAGGGTGGCTGGAAGGAAGGAACAAAGGGAGTAGAGGGGTCAGAGTGAAGGGAAGGAGGGGTTGCCTCTGCTACGACCATGCTTGATGACCCAACGTCACAACCAATCACGTACAGTGCATTCGGAAAGTATTCAGACCCCTTGACTGTCTCCACATTGTGTTACAGCCTTATTCTAAAATTGATTAAATAATTTTTTCCCCTTCATCAATCTACACACAATACCCATAATGACGCAAAAACAGATTTTTGTTGAAGCACCTTTGGCAGCGATTACAGCATCGAATCTTCTTGGGTATGACGCTACAATCTGTTTTTGGGGAGTTTCTCCCATTCTTCTCAGCAGATCCTCTCAAGCTCTGTCAGGTTGGATGGGGAGCGTCGCTGCACAGCTATTTTCAGGTCTCTCCTGAGATGTTCGATCAGGTTCAAGTACGGGCTCTGACTGGGCCACTCAAGGACATTCAGAGACGTGTGCCGAAGCCACTCCTGCGCTGTCTTGGCTGTGTGCTTAGGGTCGTTGTCCTGTTGGAAGGTGAACCCTCGCCCCAGTCTGAGGACCTGAGCGCTCTGGAGCAGGTTTTCATCGAGGATTTCTCTGTACTTTACTCCATTCATCTTTCCCTCGATCCTGACTAGTCTCCCAGTCCCTGCCGCTGAAAAACATCCCCACATCATGATGCTGCCACCACCATGCTTCACCGTAGGGATGGTGCCAGGTTTCCTCCAGAAGTGACGCTTGGCATTCAGGCCAATGAGTTCAATCTTGGTTTCATCAGACCAGAGAATCTTGTTTCTCATGTTCTGAGAGTCCTTTAGGTGCCTTATGGCAAACTCCAAGCGGGCTGTCATGTGCCTTTTACTGAGGAGTGGCTTCCGTCTGGCCACTCTACCATAAAGGCCTGATTGGTGGAGTGCTGCAGAGATGGTTGTCCTTCTGGAAGGTTCTCCCATCTCCACAGAGGAACTCTAGACCCCTGTCAGAATTAATAGTCTTGGTGGTTCCAAACTTCTTCCATTTAAGAATGATGGAGGCCACTGTGTTCTTGGGGACCTTCAATGCTGTAAACAATTTTCGGTACCCTTCCCCAGATCTGTGCCTCGACACAATCCTGTCTCGGAGCTCTACGGCAATTCCTTGGTTTTTACTCTGACATGCACTGTCAACTGTGGCACCTTATATAGACAGGCGTGTGCCTTTCCAAATCATGTCCAATCAATTGAATTTACCACATGTGGACTCCAATCAAGTTGTAGAAACATCTCAAGGATGATCAATGGAAACAGGATGCACCTGAGCTCAATTTCGAGTCTCATAGCAAAGGTTCTGAAAACATATGTAAATAAGGTATTTCAAATTTTATTTTAATACATTTGCAAACATTTCTAAAAACCTGTTTTTCGCTTTGTCATTATGGGGTATTGTTTGTAGATTGATGAGATTTTTTTTTCATTCAATACATTTTAGAATAAGGCTGTAACGTAACAACATTTGGAAAAAGGGAAGGGGTCTGAATAATTTCAGAATGCACTGTAAATGTCTGTAGTATAGTATACATGAAAAGCTACAGTATTGTTGTGTTTTTGCATGCGTGCGTTCATGTGTGTGTGTGTGTGTGTATATAGTCCATCCCCCTCACCGATGATGCCGCTGTCCCGGCTCTCTAGGGTGGAGGTGGGGCTGGTGACAGATCCGTAGGCATGGTCCTTGTTGCCCTGGTTACCCCCGGGCATGGCACCATCGGCGCCGGGCGGCAGGGTGGAGCAGGGGGAGCCGGCCGGGGGGGAGGCTGTGCTGCTGGTCAGGGTGGAGCACGGACTGATCCTCTGGTTACCAGCCAGGTCCTGGAGGAGAAATACACACAGTCAGTGCCCACGCCCACACACACACACACCCCAGAAAACCAAGACGAATGAGACCACCATCAATAGGAGAGGAGCAAATTACCACCACAAGGTAATGGAGGAAGTAATCACATGTTGAGTCTCTCGGTTTCAAACATCTCTGGCGCTAGTAAGCACTGAGCCTGGTAGTGGAAACTGGAAACCATGCTACTGTCTTAGGGTTCTGTGTAGGTGTATAATTGTCTGGGACCAATAGTACTGAAGCTTCCATTTGATCTCTAGCAGCAGATTGACTCCACAGCCTTGCTGAGAGAGAGAGAGAGCTTTAAACAGTTCCTGCCCCTGCCCTGCTCCCATTGGATGTTACCTGTCACAATGTTACTGGCATGGCTAATCTACACGCGCACACACACAGTGTCATTATTTGTAAAGTCAAAGGTAGAGGACACTCAATTCATGTAGCTGCTGTAGTGCTTAAAAAAACAGGTTTATTGTGCAAATATACTGTGTAAACATCCTACTGTAAATGAGTTTGAGTCCATCCTTGTATTTATATTTCTGCTAAATGTACTCCATTTTTATTCCATTGAGCTTATTTTTTATTATGCTTAACTTACTTACGCTTATTTTGTCGCATTGTTGAGAGGTGAACCTGCAAGAAACCATTTCATTGTACTGTGTACCATGTGTATCATGTGCATATGACAAATACACTTGATCTACTGTAGAAGACCATGGCTCCCCCTCACATAGCCTCAACTCAACCCCAAGCCTCAATTGCTTAGCCCCCTTTGTATCCAGTCTATGAAACAGTCAGACCGCCCCTGGTCTTCCTGGTCAGTGTGAGTCAGTCAGTGTAGTGACGGGACAACAGAGAGCCAGGTCAGGTCGCATGCTGCCCGTTACGTGTCCCCGTTCATCTCCGTCTCCTCTCCCCCCCACCCCTGGGGCCTACGGGGGTTGGGGCCTGTACAGTCATTGAGTTAGGCAGGCCCAGTAAGAGCTGTCATCTGTACTCAGGGTTTGGAAGAGAGCAGTCAATCGGCACATTTACAGGGTCGGTCTGTGAGAGGCTAGCAGAAAACTAACACACACAGCACCTCTATACATCAAGCAGTATAACCTCCATCTGCTGGGCTAGTGCACTCTGGTTGCGTCCCAAATGGCACCCTATTCCATATATAGTGCACTACTTCAAATGTAGTGCACTACATAGGCAATAGGGTGCCATTTGGGATGTCTCCTCTGTGTGTTAGTCTGACCATCTGACCTTAAAAAGCACGGTAGAATTAGATTGAACTTGGATGCGTGAAGAAGCGGAGAGGTGGAGAGGGGAGAGGCAATTAATGGCCGGCTTTCTGGAGGTTGAGAAGGTCACCTTCCTCCCTAAGCCAATAGGCTTTAGCTATCCTGCAGAGATCCCAGCTACTGTAACTATCCTACCTACTGTAGCCCATCAAAGTTAATTGTATATAGATTTTAACAGTAAAAGGAAACGTATACTTTAATATCCTCATATTGCCACCCTTGAGGGTTTCAACGTCTTTTCATGGATCTAAAATAAACATTAGCTGTTTATATATCAAACAAGATATTTAGGGCAGGCTATATTTGTGAAGAAAATATCGGAAAATGTGACTTTGTAGAGGGAGCACACACGGCAGGGGTCCACGATGAGTCACTGACTGCATCCCAAATGGCACCCTATTCCCTACATTGTGCACTACTTTTCACCAGAGCCCTATGACCCTTATTTCTAAAGCAAGAAGCCACTCTATACACCCCCACCACTACAGCGTAACAGCACTAACATCTAGCATGCTCTATCAGTCTAATCGGTTAGCCACACTGCATCAGCCCGTACCTATACAGTCCATAACACACCTACCTGAAGCAACAGGTAACACCCCAGCCCCCGCCCTCTATGTCTCTGTATATCTCTCTCTCACACACTCTTGCTCTTAATCTCGCTCTCCTCTCGCTCTCTCCATATCTCTCGTTCTCTGACGTTGTTTGTCTCCCTCTTCTGTAAACGTAGACTTGTCAAATTAGGTTTGAGGTACAGAAAGCAGGTAATCTGCTGTAGTGCTTAAAAACAGACTTATTGTGCCAAGATATATATATATATATACACTGAACAAAAATATAAACACAACATGTAAAGTGTTGGTCCCATGTTTCATGAACTGAAATCAAAGATCCCAGACATTTTCCATACGCACAAAAAGCTTATTTCTCTAAGTGAGCATTTCTCCTTTGCCAAGATAATCCATCCACCTGACAGGTGTGGCATATCAAGAAGCTGATTAAACAGCATGATCATTACACAGGTACACCTTGTTCTGGGGACAATAAAAGACCACTAAAATGTGCAGTTTTGTCACACAACACAATACCACAGATGTCTCAAGTTGTGAGGGAGCGTGCAATTGACATGCTGACTGCAGGAATGTCCAACAGAGCTGTTGCCTGAGAATTGAATGTTCATTTCTCTACCATAAGCTGCCTCTCACATAGTTTTAGAGAATTTGGCAGTACATCCAACCGGCCTCACAACCGCAAACCACATATAACCATGCCAGCCCAGGACCTCCACATCTGGCTTCTTCACCTGCGGGATGGTCTGAACTGTAACTGAGTAAAATCTTTGAAATTGTTGCATGTTGTGTTTATATTTTTCCTGTGTGGGCAGTTCCAAACTGCCTCTGGAAGCAACGTCAGCACAATAACTGTTTGTCGGGAGCTTCATGAAATGGGCTTCCATGGCCGAACAGCCGCACACAACCCTAAGATCACCATGCGCAATGCCAAGTGTCGGCTGGAGTGGTGTAAATCTCGCCCCCATTGGACTCTGGTGCAGTGGAAGCGCGTTCTCTGGAGTGATGAATCACGCTTCACCATCTGGCAGTCTGATGGACAAATCTGGGTTTGGCGGATGCCAGGAGAACGCTACCTGCCCGACTGCATAGTGCCAACTGTAAAGTTTGGTGGATGAGGAATAATGGTCTGGGGCTGTTTTTCACGGTTCGGGCTAGGCCCCTTAGTTCCAGTGAAGGGAAATCTTAATGCTACAGCATACAATGACATTCTAGACGATTCTGTACTTCCAACTTTGTGGCAACAGTTTGGGGAAGGCCTTTTCCTGTTTCAGCATGACAATGCCCCCATGCACAAAGCAAGGTCCACACAGAAATGGTTTGTCGAGATCGGTGTGGAAGAACTTGACTGGCCTGCACAGAGCCATGACCCCAATCCCTTCGAACACCCTTTGGGATGAATTGGCTGACTGCGTGCCAGGCCTAATCGTCCAACATCAGTGTCCAACCTCGCTAATGCTCTTGTGGCTGAATGGAAGCAAGTCCCCGCAGCAAATGCCATTTAGCAGCCTAGGTTCAGTCAGTAGTGAGAGAATATTAGACTTAGTCAATCTGCTGGATATCAGCACACCAAAGTGGCAGAATATATTAATGAACGACGACTGAAGTTGAGGCACCAAGCAAAATAAATAATTTAAGAACTTTGTTATATAATGGCCTTATTAGGGATGTAGACAGTTTATGCTCGGTGTAGAAACTGAAAAATTGGGAATGTAAAATTCCTTGGTGGAGGGCAATTTTGTGAGTTTCCTTTGATCTTTTGTCCTGGCTTACAGATGTGTATCAACAGGCTGTAAACAAGGAGATCATCAAAATATCAGATAGAAGGGAAGTCATCACATCCCAGGTATGTGTGTTTCTCAAATGGAATCAGAAATAGAGAAACACCAAATGGAATCTCAAGATATCACGAATACTGAGGTTTTTCGTCTCAGAGCGGAAATTTGCAGCACCATTTCCTCAGTGATAGCAGTAGAGAGAGGAGGGGTTAGCATTATGGAATGGCCAAACACACACACACACACACCTGTCTGTCGTCTTGTTCGTCCATGCTGTAATGTTCTCCGTCTGGCCCCTCACTAGTTTCGTCTCCCAAGAGGAAGCCCAGGCGCGTCATCAATGTGTTGGCTGCCTCATCCACCGATGGAGGGGGCCCCAGCTCCCCGCTTGACTCCCCTACAGAGAGAGGAGAGAGAGAGTGGGGGAGGGAGAGAGAGTAAGCTGGTCCTGGGGCTCTGTTCACAAACACAAACAGACCCCACATAGCCCCAGGACAACAACAACACAATTAGACCCAACCAAATCATGAGAAAACAAAAAGATAATTACTTGACACATTGGAAAGAATTAACAAAAAAACGGAGCAAACTAGAATGCTATTTGGCCCTAAACAGAGAGTACACAGTGGCAGAATACCTGACCACTGTGACCGACCCAAACTTAAGGAAAGCTTTGACTATGTAGACTCAGTGAGCATAGCCTTGCTATTGAGAAAGGCCGCCATAGGCAGACCTGGCTCTCAAGAGAAGACAGGCTATGTGCACACTGCCCACAAAATGAGGTGGAAACTGAGCTGCACTTCCTAACCTCCTGCCAAATGTATGACCATATTAGAGACAAATATTTCCCTTAGATTACAGAGATCCACAAAGAATTCGAAAACACACCCAATTTTGATAAACTCCCTTATCTACTGGGTGAAATACCACAGTGTGCCATCACAGCAGCGAGATTTGTGACCTGTTGCCACAAGAAAAGGGCAACCAGTGATGAACAAACACCATTGTAAATACAACCCATATTTAGGTTGATTTATTTTCCCATTTGTACTTTAACTATTTGCACATTGTTACAACACTGTATATATACATAATATGACATTTGAAATGTCTTTATTATTTTGGAACTTCTGAGTGTAATGTTTACTGTTAATATTTATTGTTTATTTCACTTTTGTTTACTATGTACTTCACTTGCTTTGGCAATGTTAACATTAGTTTCCCATGTCAATAAAGCCCTTAAATTGAAATTGAAATTGAGAGAGAGTGAGAGAGAGAGTGTGTGGGGAAAGTGACAAAGAGAGAGAGGGGGGGGGGGGGGGGGTAAGGAGGAGGAGGAAGAGAGAGGGGGGGAGGAGAGAAGGAGTGGAGAAAGAAGGAGTGTGTTTGTGAATAAGTGTAAATCAAGTAAAACAGAGTAAACCAACTCTCTTGACCTGGAAGGCAACCACACCTTGGATAGACTATAGAAGGAGCAGTCTAGCACATGAAAATTAAAAGATTCAGATCGAAACCAAGAAACAAACTGCTGGATAAATGTCCTTAACCTGTTCAAGCCCCAACTCAGATACATGTGCAACACCTGAACATGTTAGCTACACATTCTCCTGCTGAAAAATGTTCTGTACCAATCACAAAATCACAAAGAAAACACGAATGGGAGAAGGCATATAGTAGAGTAGAGTAGAAACCTAGTAGAGTAGAAATAAGAGACAGTCTCTACCTGAACCACCCCCGAGAGCAGAGCTGTGCATCAGAGGTCAATTCTCCAGAGATTGAGACTGAACTGGACACACTGGCGTTGAGACAACCAACCCCCCTTCTAGTCATGCCTGTAAAGATTCCTCCACACACACACATACAACTGTTCCCATCTCAAACAGTCAGCGTTGTGTTTGGATGAGGTAAGTGAATATGCCCCTCACCTGTGTGAGGGCAGGGTGTGTGTATGTATGTATGTGTGTGTGTGTGTGTGTGTGTGTGTCTGTCTGTGTGTGAGTGAGTGTTTCTAAGAGAGAGCGCGATAGAGGGAGAGAGAGTGATAGAGGGAGAGAGAGAGTGATAGAGGGAGAGAGAGAGCGATAGAGGGAAGGAGAGAGAGAGCGATAGAGGGAAGGAGAGAGAGAGCGATAGAGGGAGAGAGCGATAGAGGGAGAGCGAGAGAGAGAGAGAGCAATAGAGGGAGAGAGAGAGAGGAAGAGAGTGATAGAGGGAGAGAGAGAGCGATAGAGGAGAGAGAGCGATAGAGAGAGAGAGAGAGAGAGAGGGAGACCAATAGAAATAGAGGAGGAGAGGAGAGAGAGAGAGCGAGGGAGAGAGAGAGCGATAGAGGGAGAGAGAGCGATAGAGGGAGAGAGAGAGAGAGCGATAGAGGGAGAGAGAGCGATAGAGGGAGAGAGAGAGCGATAGAGGGAGAGAGAGCGATAGAGGGAGAGAGAGAGCGCTAGAGGGAGAAAAGAGCGATCGGGAGAGAGAGTCGTAGAGGAGAGAGAGAGCGATAGAGGGAGAGAGAGCGTAGAGGGAGAGAGTGAGAGAGAGCGATTATGTAGATAGATATCGATAGAGGGATAGATAGGTAGAGGGAGGAGAGAGCGCTAAGGGAGAGGAGGCGATAGAGGGAGAAGAGAGCGATAGAGGGAGAGAGAGCGATAGAGGGAGAGAGAGAGCGATAGAGGGAGAGAGAGCAATAGAGAGAGAGAGAGAGAGAGAGATAGAGGGAGAAATAGTAGATGTGAATCACTCTACTCACACTGTCTACTGGTATGTATACACCTATATTGGAGAGGGACTGAATATCCTCTGAAACTACTGTAGTATCATATGATGATTAGAAAGAAGAGACTTCTAGCAACGCTGGAGATTTCACAGTCATCATTACTGTTTATATGTCTTTAGATCCTGCTCTGGTCTGGTCATGAGGTCACAATACCAGGATGTTGTTATTAAACTAATACCTGATACTGCCGCTGGTGGACTACTTTGTTATGGGCGGGGTGTTGCTGGGTAATGTGTTGATCTCAGCTGAAGAGCTGGTTTCTCTCTGCTGTGTGTTGTGTATGGGTGTTTGATGTGGTCGTGGGAATGTCAAAGAAAGACAGCTGACAGAAGGTGATGGTGCTCAACTAAACAGTGGTGAGACACTGTAGACAGGCTGCTTTCTTTGGGTGTATTCAAAAGGAACCAAACAGAAGCAAACGGGCTGAAACAGGGAGGGACCTACCTCAACTTGTCCAATAAGAAACACTTGTTTTCATTACTAAATAATTGCACTGATGAATACAACCCAGTTCTCCCTCCCTTCCCTTCTCTCCCTACCATCCCTCCCCTCCCTCAGACTGACTGGTCAGACCAGACCGATAGGTAAACAGACCTGTGAGGTTTAGACCATTAGACCAAGGTGAAAGGGTGCCATTGGGATGGTGTTTACTATGTCATTCATGCATACTACATAAAAAACAATGCACACACAGGCGACTGCAGTAACTACACATTATAGCACCCTCAAAACTCTAAATAATACCACACAGCCAGACACAGTAAAGTGGTCCTGGGAGGTCATTGATCCTGTACAACAGATCCCCAAAGGTAGAACATAGTAAGGGATAAATCACCACCTCCTTACAGCCACACACACACACACACCTCCTTACATCCAGTGAATAAGGAGTCTACCATTAAAACAAAAACACTGTGTGTGTGTCTATTGATATAGGTAAGCCTCATACGTGGCTTTATTTGAATATACAGTTGAAGTCGGAAGTTTACATACACCTTAGCCAAATACATTTAAACTCAGTTTTTCACAATTCCTGACATTTAATCCTAGTAAAAATTACCTGTCTTAGGTCAGTTAGAATCACCACTTTATTTTAAGAATGTGAAATGTCAGAATAATAGCAGAGAGAAATTATTTATTTAAGCTTTTATTTATTTTAGATACACCAAGTCTGGAACCAACAGGACCCTGAACAGCTTCTACCCCCAAGCAATGAGACTGCTAATACATTCCCAGTGGGTCAGAAGTTCAAATACACTCAATTAGTATTTGGTAGCATTGCCTTTAAATTGTTTAACTTGGGTCAAACATTTTGGATAGCCTTCCACAATAAGTTGGGTGAATTTTGGCCCATTCCTCCTGACAGAGCTGGTGGAACTGAGTCAGGTTTGTAGGCCTCCTTGCTCGCACACACTTTTTCAGTTCTGCCCACACATTTTCTATAGGATTGAGGTCAGGGCTTTGTGTTGGCCACTCCAATACCTTGACTTTGTTGTCCTTAAGCCATTTTGCCACAACTTTGGAAGTATGCTTGGGGTCATTGTCCATTTGGAAGACCCATTTGCGACCAAGCTTTAACTTCCTGACTGATGTCTTGAGATGTTGCTTCAATATATCCACATAATTTTCCTTCCTCATGATGCCATCTATTTTGTGAAGTGCACCAGTCCCTCCTGCAGCAAAGCACCCCCACAGCATGATGCTGCCACCCCTGTGCTTCACGGTTGGGATGGTGTTCTTCAGCTTGCAAGCTACCCCCTTTTTCCTCCAAACATAACGATGGTCATTATGGCCAAACAGTTCTATTTTTGTTTCATCAGACCAGAGGACATTTCTCCAAAAAGTACGATCTTTGTCCCCATGTGCAGTTGCAAACCATAGTCTGGCTTTTTCATGGTGGTTTTGGAGCAGTAGCTTCTCCTTGCTGAGCGGCCTTTCAGGTTATGTCGATATAGGACTCGTTTTACTGTGGATATAGATACTTTTGTACCTGTTTCCTCCAGCATCTTCCTTTGCTGTTGTTCTGGGATTTATTCGCACTTTTCGCACCAAAGTACGTTAATCTCCTTCCTGAGCAGTATGACGGCTGTGTGGTCCCATGGTGTTTATACTTTGTGTACTATTGTTTGTACAGATGAACTTGGTACCTTCAGGCATTTGGAAATTGCTCCCAAGGATAAACCAGACTTGTGGAGGTCCACCATTTTTTTTCTGAGGTCTTGGCTGATTTCTTTTGATTTTCCCATTATGTCAAGCAAAGAGGCACTGAGTTTGAAGGTAGCCCTTGAAATACATCCACAGGTACACCTCCAATTGACTCAAATTATGTCAATTAGCCTATCAGAAGCTTCTAAAGCCATGACATCATTTTCTGGAATTTTCCAAGCTGTTTAAAGGCACAGTCAACTTAGTGTATGTAAACTTCTGACCCACTGGAATTGTGATACAGTGAATTATAAGTGAAATAATCTGTCTGTAAACAATTGTTGGAAAAAGTACTTGTGTCATGCACAAAGTAGATGTCCTAACCGACTGCCAAAACTATAGTTTGTTAACAAGAAATTTGACTCCAACCTAAGTGTATGTAAACTTCCGACTTCAACTGTATTTACTTGAGCATA